TCCTATCTTGTTTTATTAAATTGTTATGTCGAAGATAATTGGATGACATTTATTTTATCAAATTTGAGCTTTCACTCACCAATGAACCTCTGCTGGTTATGTCTCCTAGAATTTTTGAAACTGGTAAGCATTTTAATTAATAATAACTAATATATAACGTAAATATTCTGGTAATATCATACATAGCTGGAAAATGGTGTATGTATTCAAACAGCAGTTGTAACCGTTGTTATTGAAATAATGTATAAATATCATTTTTATTTCAAAGTTGATTTGTATGCTGTGATGATTAATAAGGACATTTGGCAACGTGTAAAAATGATAAATGTTTGATTCCTTAAGTTTCAGTCATAGATAAAAATAAATATGGCAAACCAAGCTAGGGAAAGTACAGAACGATGTAATGATTTTAATTTATGTCTCAATTTAGACACTAATGTCGATAACGGAAGTGATACAATTCTTTTCGAAATAATAAATAAATTAATTCAATTAAGAAAAAATTATAGTGAACTTCTAAACAAATACAATGCAGTTTGTAAACAAAATGAACAATTAAAAGAAGAAATAGAAAACCAAAAAATTAAACGTAATGAAACCTTTAAAAACGTAAATAGTGTTGTATTGTTATGGCTATATACGAATGTATTTCTTTTTAGGACGAATGTCCTATATCAACGTCGATTAAATTAAGTGATTTCCACGGACTGGATTATGGATCAGGAATGGCAACTAGTTTTTTTCACGGATATTTAAAAATCATGCTTCCAAACACCGGTGGATCAAGTAGAAGCTTTTTAGAATTTATAGAACTTTATCAAGCTCAACATAAAGTTACTTTTGACGTAAGAAAATTGTTTATATTGCTACCAATGTCCTGCGAATGTTTTCCATCTCTTCAATGTCCATCCTTTCCAAATATTGAAGAATCAAAGGTAAGATTGACTTTAGAGTTGGTCAAAAGCATAGAGGTTTCTAATAGTACGTTCAGTAAATACTTAAATTTTCTTCAACTGTAGCCCTTAGATGAGCTTGAGAGAGATGTTGCCGGAGTTAAAAAAAGAATTTATAAGAATTCAGTATATAAAATTAAAAAACCGAATAGGGAAAGAGTTTATGTATCTGTGGAATATGCTACCCCTTTAAGAACGTTTAAAGAAGTAATATCGCATAATTCAAAGTATTCAAGTATGTCTTGTGTTTATTGTTTTTAAGTATTTATCAAAATGGCATCTTTTGCAGAGATTTATGAGAAATACAAAAATGATATTGTTCTGAATTTTTACCTAACACTAAAAGCTATTCTAAAGGAAAATCCGCAGTGCGATGGTTTGTGTGAAGTAATATATTATAATGGTATCTTTTTGTTCATATTTTTGTTTTACTTTTTTATTAATCCTTTTAAATTTATCAGACAAAAATCCTGATGGTTCCTATAAGAATGTTGGAAATTTAATACTAAAAAGGATTAAAGAAATAAGAGGTACCCTTAAAAAGAAAAAAGACTAATCATTGTAATGAAAGGCTTTATGCAAGATGTGATATTTTTCACTGTAAATACTTGATTGTACTGAATTTTAGTTAGTAAGCTAAATGCTATCCCAATTTTTTTTTGTAAATGTAGATACAATCATATTTTTTCCAAATCAATCAAAACAGATTTTAATATTTTATTTTCATTTCATTATGTTACAAAGTTTCTTCTGTGTATTTCTTGACGTTTTTAGAATTAATTTACTGCCTTAGGGGAAAAGTGAATATTAAAAGTTTTTACTTGTTTAGTCATTCTACATCAATTCAATTGATTTAGAAAGAAATTACGACTTATTTTTTACCCATATATAATATTAAAGTGTTTGATCTTTTTCTTTATCTCTAGTGTTTTTTCCAAAGACTTATGCAGTTCCTGAGTTCTTATAAAGTTGTTTTTGTTAATTTTTAACTTAATAAATGACAATTTTGGAGTTATTTTTGTTTTTTTCTATTCATTTTTAATAGTAATAGTATAATACATAAAAGTTAATCATATTATTGAATTTTGTAGGAAAAACATATTAATTTTTTTTTTCATTTATTAGTTTCTTTGTAACTGCCTCAGGAGTCTTTATTCTGAATATACTCTTACAATTCAAAACAATCCTAATATTTTTAAGTGTTTTGTTCTAGAAGATTTAATTAAAATCAATCGATTTGATGATGAATTTAATAAATTGAAGTGTACAATTCCTTAGGGGAGAATCGATTTATAGCTGGATGGGTGGATTTATAATTATAACTTCATAGAAATGTGTGATTCTAATTGCAATATTTAGTTACGTGCTTCGATGCACGCAATTATTATTGCAAAATATTACTAAATAACACTAGTCGTGTGCAATACTCATAAAATAAAAAGAATATTGTTATTAATTAAAAAGCAACTAAAAGAATTATTGCAAATCATACACTGAAAGGGAAAATTAAAGATATCCCACTCTTTTTGGCCCCAAAAATTTGAAATTTCAAGTTTTTTGGAGTACGCTTGCGTGGAAAAGGAATGGAGTCATGTGATTTCTGATTTGTTGGCGTTCACTCCTTGGATTTGTCCTTCATGCGACATTCATTATAAAACCGCTGTGGTTGTGTGAGAATTGTCCGTCTGAGTTAAATTATCCGGAGGTAAGTGTTTGCATTTACTGTCATCTTTAAAGAATGCATTGATCTTGTCGAGATTTTGGCTTATTGAGTACATTTAAAATTTGGTTTTCACGATTAACTTTTTTTTATATAACTTAATTTGTTCGACTTTTCTAGTAGTTTATTTATATTATCTGTTACAACTAATTTCTTATAGAGGACAAAGTACCGGGATTTATTGTAATGTAATGATAGTTAACTAATTTATTATATACATAAAAATCAAAAATATGTTTAATCTTGTTGAAGCGTGCCTCTGATTTCGTAATTGTCAAAATGCCGGTCGACCTCTTTGACCTTGTTTTTAATATTATCCAACTACTAAAATCGTTCTGGGCTCATCCTCTAAATCTTATGCTCTCAATCCGTATCAATTTTTTTAAACACATCCCGGTCATTATATTCTGTAAAACATTATTTCATTTTATACACCTATATGTTCACTTGTTTCTTATAAGTACATGGTAATTATTACTAATCAAAACTTTTCATCATACCAATTTATTTTAACGTCACAGAATAGTATTCTGAAAGTTTCTTAACGTCCTTTTTTTAGCCTAAATATGTCTAAGATTGGAATCAATGGTTTTGGTCGTATTGGACGCTTAGTCCTTCGCGCTGCCCTAGAAAAGGGAGCACAAGTTGTGGCTGTAAATGATCCTTTCTTAAACGTTGACTACATGGTCTATCTTTTTAAATATGACTCCACCCACGGTCGTTACAAGGGCGAAGTTAAAGCAGAAAATGGAAACCTTGTTGTAGATGGAAAGGTCATTCAAGTCTTTACAGAGCGTGACCCCAAGGTTTTTCTTTATTGTTTTTGAAATAATTTCCAATATTACACTAATTATTTTATAGGCCATTCCATGGGGAAAAGCTGGAGCTGAATACGTTGTAGAATCAACTGGTGTATTTACAACAACCGAAAAGGCATCTGCTCATCTTGCTGGAGGGGCTAAAAAGGTCATAATTTCTGCCCCATCTGCTGATGCACCCATGTTCGTATGTGGTGTTAATTTGGAAGTGTATAATCCAAGCATGCAAGTAAGTTAAAAAATGTTACTTTTTTATATACTTTTAATTAATTTTTTATTTTTGTTTCAATGCAGGTCATTTCTAATGCTTCATGTACCACTAACTGTTTGGCTCCTCTTGCTAAAGTTATCCACGATAAGTTTGGTATCGTTGAGGGTCTTATGACCACAGTACATGCAACCACTGCTACCCAGAAGACTGTTGATGGTCCTTCTGGTAAATTATGGCGTGACGGACGTGGAGCCCAACAAAATATCATTCCAGCATCCACTGGAGCTGCCAAAGCTGTAGGTAAAGTCATTCCAGACCTAAACGGCAAATTGACTGGTATGGCCTTCCGTGTACCAGTACCAAATGTTTCAGTGGTTGACTTAACTGTAAGTAATTTACAGATGTCTTTTAATAATACAATTTTGTTATATTCCCGTGTTCATAGTTTATACTTTTATGCGTCATCTATACTTTTCATTTTTTTGACACTGGTGTCATTGTTATTCAGGTACGTCTTGCAAAACCAGCCAAATATGAAGAAATTAAAGCAGCCGTCAAGGAAGCAGCTAATGGTCCTCTTAAAGGAATCTTGGGCTACACCGAAGAGGAAGTTGTATCAAGCGATTTTATCGGTGACACACACTCGTCAATTTTTGACGCTGCTGCGGGTATTCCCCTAAGCGATACTTTTGTCAAGTTGATTTCATGGTATGATAATGAGTATGGATACTCCAATAGGGTTGTCGATCTCATCAAGTACATCCAAACCAAGGATTAAATAATAGAACCACCACCAAAAAATTGCAGCAGCAACAGTGGCAGTGTACATCAACAACATGATAAACATCATTTCGAATAATGTAAGAGTAATACAATTTCTTTCTTTTGCGATTTGGTACTATTTAAGTTTAAAGTGAAAGTATAGAGGGAGTAGAGAGCGCATTACCTTTTTAGAATTTGTATTTGGTACGCTCTACCTGTTTGCTTACTATCACCAAAAATTCTATGTGCTCGTTAACATTATTACCTCCAAATTACTTGTTGTCTCATCTACTTATTATAATATGAATACTAATAAATATGTAAACATATTTATCGACTTTTGCATCATATAGTCGTCATTTTTCTCACGTTTACAATTGGTATACTCGCACTATCCAATTTATTTTATCAAGTTTTTTTTTTGTTTGCCGTTTAAAGTTTATTGTTTAGAAGTTTATAGGAAATCATAAATTACTTTTTTTGTGTAAAGATAATAAAAAGACCAGTGACTCGTATAACAATTACTTTTGCGTTTCATCCATAATAATTATTTCTTTTACCTATTACCCATATTGCTTTTAACTGAAACATCCTCCTTTTTTCCATTACAAGGAACCCTGAATGACCGAAGTAAGTTTAAGAATAAAATAAACTGAAGATCTGTAATGTAGAAAAAAACCGCTACTAGAAAATTCAGACAAATTTAAGAAAGATCTGGACAAACTTCACTTTAGTACAACACTTTGAAAGGTATTTTTTTAAACCATTTAATTCGTAGTTTTTTTTTGTAGATAGTAGAACTTACACATGTTTTCTTAATTTCACCAATCACCACTGAATACTAAGTGTAAATTGAAGGCAAGCGTAACAGTTACTCAAACTGTACAGTACATTATTTTACCTCTTTGAGTTTGAAAAAATATAATTGCAGATACATATTACACATTTGAACTGATATGACTTAAAAACTACAATTGAGCAATTAAAAATTGCTACTTTTCGCAATAACATGTGAGCCAACAAAATACCAAACATACTTATTTGAAAAATATAACTAATTTATTTTCAAATGAGAAAGGTGGTTATTAAACAGAATATGCATTATAAAATTCCTAAAGAATCAAGGGGGTAATGAATGAATTAAGAAATTGATTATCACATATTATAAGTAGGTAATTATTTTTTATGAATTATGGTAAACTAATTTAATAATTTCTCATTCATACTGCAAATTTTCTTTGATATTTTCACTGGCAAAAACAGGAACTGTTGTGATGAAAATCCCTTATTGTTCAAAATAGTATGTCTAAGTTGAAATTTTTTTTATTACAAAATTGAAATATTGATACAAACAAAAACATGTACCTATACAAAACCTAATATATCGAGAACAATTTCTTTAAAAATTAATTTAGTAAAAATAATCATTCGTTTACACTGCTGAACGCATTTTTAACATTCCTCGGTATATGCAAGTGAAACTGCAAAAATTTTGATCTGCCTACATATTTTCTCTTATAAGTAAGTAGTTTTCTCAAAGGGCTTAACACTTAAGATCTCTGAAAGGAAGTTGTGGAGGGGATTCCCTCATAACACCTTAACAAGTACAGATCACGTGACAAGAAACCCCTTTCATTGGGTGGTCAGTGGTGGCACATCATGATCTTTTGTATTTGTTTACACCACTGGGGGTATTTTTGAAATTCTCTTGGTACTAATAAATAAAATTTCATAACAGGTTAAAAGTTACGGTTCAAAAGTTATCGTTATCTGAGATATTTTATATCATGACGAAATTTAAGGTTAGGTGCAGTGAATAAACAAGGAAAATATTGTGTAACATCATAACATGGTATATATAACTCGGTAAACAGTATTAGTGGTGTTTCTTTGTGGTAGTCAATAAGTGATAGTGTAATCGCGCTTGTCCCTCCAGAAGTCTCAATAATGTCCCAGTTAAAAGAATACTCCACAAACAGTGAATTTAACAACTACAGATCTCCCTTGAGTACACGATATGCAAGTCAGGAAATGCAATTCAACTTTAGCGATCAAAAGAAGTTTTCCACCTGGAGACAGTTATGGGTAAATTTAGCAAAAGCTGAAAAGGAATTAGGGCTGCAAATCACTGACGATCAAATAAGTCAAATGGAAGCAAACATTCATAAAATTGATTTTGATGCAGCAGCCAAAGAAGAAGCTTTAACCAGACACGATGTCATGGCCCATGTGCACGTTTTCGCCCAGCAGTGTCCACTAGCAGCACCCATCATTCATCTTGGAGCTACGTCATGTTTTGTTGGAGACAACACAGACTTAATTATAATAAAAAATGGATTGAATATACTTTTACCTCGTCTTGCCGCAGTTATCAGAAACTTTGCCAATTTTGCTGACCAATATAAGGATTTACCAACATTAGGATTTACTCATTTGCAACCTGCTCAATTAACAACTGTAGGTAAACGTGCCACTCTTTGGATTCAAGACCTGATAATGGATGAAAGAGCTTTACGAGATGTAAGAAGCAATCTACGTTTTAGAGGAACAAAGGGAACAACAGGAACCCAAGCATCCTTCATGCAGTTGTTCAATGGGGACAGCCAAAAGGTCAAAGCTTTAGATAAACGTGTTGCACATCTATCAGGCTTTGATCAAACTTATCTTGTAACTGGTCAGACATATTCAAGAAAAGTTGATTTAGAAGTTGTTGCAGCAATTAGTAGTTTGGGAGCTACAGTACACAAACTATGCAGCGATTTAAGACTACTAGCAAACCGAAAAGAATTGGAGGAACCTTTCGAAAAGAGTCAAATTGGTAGCTCTGCAATGCCCTACAAAAGAAATCCCATGCGTTCAGAGCGCTGTTGTGCTCTGGCTCGTCATATGATAGCATTATTCTCCAACGCAGCTCAAACTCATGCAGTCCAGTGGTTGGAAAGAACCTTGGATGACTCGGCTAATAGAAGAATTACACTTGCAGAAGCCTTTTTGAGTGCCGATGCCGTACTTTTGACTCTTTTGAACATTTCCCAAGGTCTCGTGGTTTATCCAAAAGTTATTGAGCGCCACATTAAACAAGAATTACCTTTTATGGCATCAGAAAATATTATAATGGCAATGGTGAAAAAGGGAGGAGACAGGCAAGTTTGCCACGAGAAAATTAGAGTCTTGTCGCAAGAAGCTGCAGCCCAAGTTAAGCAGCACGGTTTCGATAACGATTTAATTGCAAGAGTGAAAAATGATGCATACTTTGCCCCAATTTTAGGTGAATTAGATTCATTATTAGACGCACGAACATTTACTGGTAGAGCAGCAGAACAGGTTACTGAGTTTTTAGAAGAAGAAGTTGAGCCTGTTTTGCTCACTTACACAAAAGAATTACAATCTCAAAATAAGCACGTTCAACTAAAGATTTAATTAAGTTGTTTTTATTAATTAACTTATAAATATCATTAAACTTACACAATGTTGTTTATTCTTTTTCGCGTTTTACTTCGGCCTTTTTCGAGATGATTCTTTCTTGTCTTCGTTTCTTTGCTTCACGAAATCTTCGCCTGTGTGCTTCTGATTGATCGTAAAGCATCTTTTCTCTTGCAAAGTCAGCTTTCTTTTTAAAAATGTATTCCATTAAAACACGCCGATTCTTAAAAGTATTTCCTTTCACCTTATTGTAAAGTCGGCTGTAGAAATGACGATCAATTTTTTTTCTGTCACGATACTTTTTCAGAAGACGTCGCAAAACTTTCATTCTGGTCATCCAAAGTATCTTTTTAGGATTGCGTGCCTCCGCTGTACCCTTACGCTTTCCAAGCCCTCTATAACGGCCCTTCAGTTTCGCTTTGTTTTTCTTGTTGGCACGATAATGAGAATGAATCGAAACAGGTTTTTGAATAATAAGACCATCTTTTAAAAGACGACGAATACTTGCACGAGAGTTTGCCCCCTGTACAGTAACTATTTCGTTTGGATCTATCCATATCTTTTTCTGTCCGCAACCCTTTAAAGAAGCCGCGAGACGTTTAACAAGTCTTAAGGTAGTCATATTTTTACAGACAATTGTATTTAATAACAAATTAAATACTTGAACATCGCATTCTAACGAGAGGTTGAAAAATAAAAGTAATCCATGAAATAATTTAAATTTCCCCCCCTTGTGAGTCAAAATACTGAACAATTTTATAGAATTACATTTTTATATAAAATGGAATACTGACTTTAAAACATTGCCTAATTTTCGTTTAGGAAGTTTTACCTTTTTAATTAATTAAATATATA